GGCCTGATCCCACAGGCCAGGCCGAGGGACCCCACTGGTGCACAAATTCATGACTCGGGCCTCTAGTATATATATAAAAAGAGATTTTTTAAAAAATACATTTTATTGATTCTCCACAGAGAGGAAAGGAGAGGGACAGAGAGCCAGAAACATCAATGAGAGAGAAACATCGATCAGCTGCCTCCCACTGGGGATGTGGGTAAGAATTAATTTTTTTTTTATCCTCACCTGAGGATATTTTTCCATTGTTTTTTAAAAATATATATATATCTTTATTGATTTCAGAGGATACACAGGATGCGGCAAGAGCAGCTTTACAGGTGTTTATATGGGAAGTCTGGCATTAATTGATAAATAATAATACAATTATAAACCTGTGTTTCATGTACTCACAACGGCAAACATACTTTTGCTCAACCTGTATTTAAAGAGAAGACAAGGTTCACTGATGGGCTAAATGGGAGAAGCAAGAAGAGGTTAATGAAAGTGAGGACTTACTAGTAAACATTACTCCAGGAGTGATGTTTCTTTTTTTCTTTTTTTTTTAAAAATATATTTTTATTGATTTCAGAGAGGAAGGGAGAGGGAGCGAGAAATAGAAACATCAATGATGAGAGAAATCATCAACAGGCTGCCTCCTGCATGCCCCCTACTGGGGATTGAGCCCGCAACTCAGCCATGTGCCCTTGACCGGAATCCAACCCAGGACCCTTCAGTCCGCAGGCCCATACTCTATCCACTCAGCTAAACCAGCTAGGGCAGGAGTGATGTTTCTTACAGCATTCAATTTTCTTACAGCATTTTTTGCCTTAAGATATAAATTTATTATTGACTATCTAGAGTACTTCTACTGAGAACGAAAGGATTGTGGAGTGAGCCACTAAGTAAGTGAAATGCCTTTTAAGGAAATAAGGGATATTACTGAAGTTCAGAATGAGGAGAAAATCTAGACTGCATTGTGAAACCAAGTTTAATATTATTATCACATATCCAAGTACAAATATGAAGAAATTATTTGACTGTATAAATGTTATAAAAGGTCTAGTCTCAAAATATGTGTCAGTCCATGAACACTTATAAATTCTTCAAAGAAAGAGACTAAACTAGACTGTGTTTTGAAACATGTAAAATAAAACATGAAGGCGTATGTAAAGTTCTGGGACTCAATGACCCCACCAAAAAGAAGGAAACACTGAGTATTGTGATCAGGTGCATAACTGATGACAGGGGTACAGAACAAATACACAGAGAGTAAGGATGTGGAGTCTCAGCATCTGATATCCAGGTAATTATAATAGACTATTGAGGGTTATCATGTGCCTAAAACTTGCTATTCTTCTTTTTTTTTATTGGTTTCAGAGAGGGAGAGAGAGACAGAAACATCAATGAGACAGACTCACTGGTCAACTGCCTACTGCACGCTTGATTTCAGAGGATACACAGGATGCGGCAAGAGCAGCTTTACAGGTGTTTATATGGGAAGTCTGGCATTAATTGATAAATAATAATACAATTATAAACCTGTGTTTCATGTACTCACAACGGCAAACATACTTTTGCTCAACCTGTATTTAAAGAGAAGACAAGGTTCACTGATGGGCTAAATGGGAGAAGCAAGAAGAGGTTAATGAAAGTGAGGACTTACTAGTAAACATTACTCCAGGAGTGATGTTTCTTTTTTTCTTTTTTTTTTTTAAATATATTTTTATTGATTTCAGAGAGGAAGGGAGAGGGAGCGAGAAATAGAAACATCAATGATGAGAGAAATCATCAACAGGCTGCCTCCTGCATGCCCCCTACTGGGGATTGAGCCCGCAACTCAGCCATGTGCCCTTGACCGGAATCCAACCCAGGACCCTTCAGTCCGCAGGCCCATACTCTATCCACTCAGCTAAACCAGCTAGGGCAGGAGTGATGTTTCTTACAGCATTCAATTTTCTTACAGCATTTTTTGCCTTAAGATATAAATTTATTATTGACTATCTAGAGTACTTCTACTGAGAACGAAAGGATTGTGGAGTGAGCCACTAAGTAAGTGAAATGCCTTTTAAGGAAATAAGGGATATTACTGAAGTTCAGAATGAGGAGAAAATCTAGACTGCATTGTGAAACCAAGTTTAATATTATTATCACATATCCAAGTACAAGTATGAAGAAATTATTTGACTGTATAAATGCTATAAAAGGTCTAGTCTGAAAATATGTGTCAGTCCATGAACATTTACAAATTCTTCAAAGAAAGAGACTAAACTAGACTGTGTTTTGAAACATGTAAAATAAAACATGAAGGCGTATGTAAAGTTCTGGGACTCAATGACCCCACCAAAAAGAAGGAAACACTGAGTATTGTGATCAGGTGCATAACTGATGACAGGGGTACAGAACAAATACACAGAGAGTAAGGATGTGGAGTCTCAGCATCTGATATCCAGGTAATTATAATAGACTATTGAGGGTTATCATGTGCCTAAAACTTGCTATTCTTCTTCTTTTTTTTATTGGTTTCAGAGAGGGAGAGAGAGATAGAAACATCAATGAGACAGACTCACTGGTCAACTGCCTACTGCACGCCCACCACTGGGGATGGAGCCTGCAACCCAGGCATGTGTCCTGATCGGGAATTGAACTATGACCTCCTGGTTCATAGGTCAACACTCACCCACTGAGCAACACCAGCAGGGCTTGGTTCAGGCAATTTAGAACTTTTCAAGTCACTCCTCAATTCTTCCCTATGCACCTTTTATCTTCCATAATTGACAGACTCACTGGTCAACTGCCTACTGCACGCCCACCACTGGGGATGGAGCCTGCAACCCAGGCATGTGTCCTGATTGGGAATTGAACTATGACCTCCTGGTTCATAGGTCAACATTCAACCACTGAGCAACACCAGCAGGGCTTGGGTCAGGCAATTTAGCACCTTCCAAGTCACTCCTGGATTCTTCCCTATGCACCTTTTATCTTCCATAATCTTAATCTGTGTTTTTCTACTCTCACAAATTGTAATGGTGAGTATAACACGGTTATATTTCCCTCCCTTATAAAGTCTAGAAAGTCTGAAGTTATTATTACCTGGTCACAAAATTCTAGATTTTTGACTCTAGGTCTGACACTACAGAGTCAGGACACCAATATTTCTGCCCCGGAACAATAAAATCAAATATGGTCTGTGGTATAGACTATTAGTTGAAACCTTCATGCCCGTTCTCGCTTTAATTTTAGAATCAGACCTCAGTTTTTATTCTTGCACTTTCCCCAAGAACCTGTGAAGCTGGGTGTGCTGATGAGATTACATTGAACCCATGGTCGGCAAACTGCGGCTCTCGAGCCACATGTGGCTCTTTGGCCCCTTGAGTGTGGCTCTTCCTAAGCCTTAGGAGTACCCTAATTAAGTTAATAACAATGTACCTACCTGTATAGTTTAAGTTTAAAAAATTTGGCTCTCAAAAGAAATTTCAATCATTGTACTGTTGATATTTGGCTCTGTTGACTAATGAGTTTGCCGACCACTGATCTAGAGTACTTCTACTGAGAATGAAAGGACTGTGCAACGTAGAGAGAAGGTATACATTTTTAAGACTTTTCTTGTACTACTTTTAACTTAAAAAATACTAGCCTATTGCCCTAGCTGGTCTGGCTCAGTGGATAGAGCATCAGCCTGCAGACTGAAGGGTCCCAGGTTTGATTCCGGTCAAGGGCACATGCCCAGGTTGCAGGCTCGATCCCCAGTGAGGGGGTGTGTAGGAGGCAGGCAATCAATGATTCTCTCTCATCATTGATGTTTCTATCTCTCTCTTCCTCTCCCTTCCTCTCAGAAATTAATGAAAATATATTTTTAAAAAATATTAGGCTATCAACATGCAAGTTCTAAAGAAATAAAGCAGTCACTTAGATTGCAGGAGGCAATCACAAGTATGGAACACATTAAAGAGTTTTCAGGAAAAGGACAGACTTTCTAAGCAAGGTAATAGCATATCACAGAGATCACTGAAAGAGAAGCTGCAATTACATATGACAGGAAACTTGGTTACCTGGGACTAAGTGTCATCAGCATATGATGAAAAAGTAATCAGTTTTATTTTTATATCCTAGCAATGAATAATCTGAAAATGCAATCACGAAAATAATTCCATTTAAATAATTACTTTAAATAATAAAAGAATCTCATATTTAGGAATAAACTTAAGAAAAGGAACTGTAGAACTTTTATTCTGAAACTTATAAAATGTTGTTGGAAGAAATTAAAGAACGAACTAGATAGAAAGACAGACAATGATCCTGGATCAGGATGTTTAATATGGTTAAGATGGAATTACTACCCAGTTCAGATACAGATTCAGTGTAATCCCTACCAAATCCTAGCTGTTTCTTCTTTTGCAGAGATTCACAAGCTGATTCTAAAATTCAAATGAAAATTCAACCATCCAAAAATCAAAATTATTTTGAAAGAGAACAAAGTTGGGTAGTTCACTCTTTCCAATTTCAAAACTTATCAAGAGCTACAGGAATCAAGGCCTCGATAAGAACGTGTAAATAGCTCTGGATGGTGTGGCTTAGTTAGTTGGAGTTTGTTCCATGCACTGAAGGGTCACTAGTTTGATTCCAGGTCAGGGAACTTGCCTAGGTTGAGGGTTTAGTAACTGGTAAGGCCAGTTCAGGAGAAAACTCAAATCCTAGCTGTTTCTTCTTTTGCAGAGATTCACAAGCTGATTCTAAAATTCAAATGAAAATTCAACCATCCAAAAATCAAAATTATTTTGAAAGAGAACAAAGTTGGGTAGTTCACTCTTTCCAATTTCAAAACTTATCAAGAGCTACAGGAATCAAGGCCTCGATAAGAACGTGTAAATAGCTCTGGATGGTGTGGCTTAGTTAGTTGGAGTTTGTCCCATGCACTGAAGGGTCACTAGTTTGATTCCAGGTCAGGGAACTTGCCTAGGTTGAGGGTTTAGTAACTGGTGAGGGCCAGTTCAGGAGAAAACTGATAGATGTTTCTTTCTCTCTCTCTCTCTCTCTCTCTCTCTCTCTCTCTCTTTCTCCAGTTCTGGCCAGTATTGCACAGTGGTTGGAGCACTGACCCATTCACCAAAAGACTGGGGTTTGATTCCAGGTCAAGGGCATGTACCTGGATTGCAGGTTTGATCCCCAGTACCGGCAAGTACAGGAGGCAACTAATCAATGTGTTTCTCTCACATCGATGTTTCTCTCTCTCTCTCTCTTCCTCTCCCTCCTTCCCTTCTACTCTCTGTTAAAAAAAAAAAAAATCAATGGAAAAAGTATTCTCCGGTGAGGATTAACAAAATACAAAACCAAAAGCACTTATTATGAATATATTAAATGAATATATTAAAAAACATTTCTGTAAATATAAAATGTTCTAAAATTGATTGTGATGATGGTTCCACCACAACTATATCAAATATACCACAAACCAGTGAATTATATAATTTAGGTGAATTGTATGGTACGTGAATTAAATCTAAGTAAAACCATTAAAACTATGATGTGGATTTTTTGTTGTTGTTGCTGTTTTTTTTAAACAATTGTAGCCCTGACCAAACTGCTCAGTTAGTTGTAGCATCATCCCAATAAATGAAGGTTGCACATCCCTGGTCAGGGCAACATAGAAGAATCAACCAATAAATGCATGAATAGGTGGAATGACAAATCTATCTATCTATCTATCTATCTACCTACCTACCTACCTACCTATCTCTCCCCCACCTCATTCTAAGATCAATAATAATAAAACAATTAAAATGAGTAAATAAATCAATATATGCAGTGATAACATCTTAGAATGGACAAAAATCTGAATTGGGAAAACTAGGAAATAAGTCATTTGAAGCAGACGTAAGTTATGACGTTGTTTGGTCTCACACTCATGTAATATGTTAAGATCTTTTCTTGTTCATCAAATGAAGCAGTAGAGATCTTTTTTTTTTTTTTTTGATTTTTTACAGAGAGGAAGGGAGAAGGATAGAGAGTTAGAAACATCGATGAGAGAGGAACATCGATCAGCTGCCTCCTGCACACCCCGCACTGGGGATGTGCCTGCAACCAAGGTACATGCCCTTGACCGGAATCGAACCCCGGACCCTTCAGTCCGCAGGCGGACGCTCTATTCACTGAGCCAAACAGGTCAGGGCAGTAGAGATCTTTAAGAAGAGAGAGCTCAGCATGTAGGGAACATCCCAGGTGATGCCAGGATGGACAGAATTCAAAGTATCTAATTCGGAAAAAGGAACTAATAGTAAAAAAAAAATAGAGGGAAGGTGATTCCTGCTCTCACACACAAAATGGGAAATCAGAGGCCAGCTGCTATGACGAGTAAGACACATTGGAAGAAAGTGTACATTAGACGATATTGAAGGAGAAGTCAATTTGGGAGCCCATTTCACAGACCAGAAATAGGTCAACTCATGGGAACAGAGGAGACGTTTAAGATGAGAACTGAATATTAAGAACTTTGGGAGGATGGGGGAAAACAACATAAATGCACCATGAAAAGCAGGTTATTATTCATTTTAACATATTCATTTTAGTATATTTGTAATAAGTGCTTTTGGTTTTGTTTTTTGTTAATCCTCACCGGAGGATACTTTTTCCATTGATTTTTTTTTTTTTTTTTTTTTTACAGAGAGTAGAAGGGACACAGTATCCAAAGTGGGTTGGAGGTTATGGAGGGAAATCACTCTTTCCAACCAGGGCATGAAGGCCCAGGAGTAAGAAAAAAAGCGATGAATTCAAAGTTCTGTCTTTCCAAAGAGACCTGGAAAGTAGAATTCCATAGCCACAGAAGTGGTGACACAGACAGAGACACTGTGACCATGGACAAAGGGGAAAAAAAATCTGAAAATCTTAGGACAAAGGAAACTGTGCAAACAAAATCAAGATGTAGATAAAATAAGCAAGGCAGAGCTCAGAAAAGAAAACCAGGGCATGCTATCCTCTAAGCTTCTACAAAAGGGTTCCCATACGTGGAGGGGTGGTTTTTTGAGTTTCCTCATTCACTGTCACAGCTCTGACAACTTCGCTGACTAGAATGTGACTTCCCGGCCGCCCGCCTTGCTGGTTCTCACCCCCTCACCTGGAGAGACTGGACAGTGGCGTCCACGCTGTACTGTCCACGGTTCTTCCCCTCGTTCCAACTTGGAGAGCGCGTCTGGTTTGCTGGCTTGACACCCTGCTTGTGAACAAGGACAGAGACGTAGACATATTATATTGGGCTGGGCTCTGTCAAGAAGGGAGAATGAGCCCTGGCTGGTTTGGCTCAGTGGATGGAGCATCGGCCTGCTGATTGAAAGGTCCCGGGTTCGATTCCAGTCAAAGGGCACATGCCTGGGTTGAGGGCTCGATCCCCGGGGGGAGGGCTTGCAGGAGGTAGCCAATGGATGAGTCTCTCTTATGATTGTTTCCGTCTCTCTCTCCCTCTCCCTTCCTCTCTGAAATCAGTGAAGAAAAAAATATAAATATATATTTTTTTATTATTGGTTTTTTACAGAGAGGAAGGGAGAGGGATAGAGAGCCAGAAACATCGATGAGAGAGAAACATCGATCAGCTGCCTCCCACTGGGGATGTGCCCGCAACCGAGGTACATGCCCTTGACCGGAATCAAACCTGGGACCCTTCAGTCCGCAGGCCGACGCTCTATCCACTGAGCCAAACTGTTTAGGGCCAGTGAAAATATATTAAAAAAAAAAAGAATGGAGAATGAACAGGTTCACATCTAACACAATGACTTTAATATCAGGAGAGGGGACATTATACTCTCTTGTCTGGGGCAAGAGAAAGATGTGAGGTTGTACCATGTCCATATCTGTATTTATTCTGAACAGTTAAGCAGCTTATCAATAAAAAGCCACTGACTGGGGACCATCGGACTGACACGGGGGAGCTGTCCTCACCCACTGACACCAGGTGGCTGTAGGTCTCCAACATCACGTCCCTGTACAGGTCCTTCTGCTCGGGGCCCAGGAGCTGCCACTCCTCCCAGCTGAAGTCCACGGCCACATCGTGAAATGTCAGCGATTCCTGTAGCAACTCCATGCTGTGTAACGGCATGACGTCCTGTACATGACCTGGGAGAAATGTTAGTTTTTCTGCTCATTTTCACCTTACAGACTGCACCTATATAGCGAGTGGAGTTTTATTTTAATATACAGTTGAACCACATGGCTAGTAAAATACTATTTGTAATAATTGTACATCCATGCATTCTCCCAATTAGATGTTTCTATAATGTGAAAGTTAAATGTGCTTGTTAACCTAGAAACACGTTTCATATATTCAAATATTTGAGAAAGAGAATATATATATATGTGTGTGTGTGTGTGTGTGCGCTTTTCAGATTAACGGAGGTGGTTTTATAGGCCTCTTCAAATCCACTACAGAAGAAAGTAAAGGAAAAAAACAAATCCAGTCACCTGAGCCTGGAGCATTTTATTCTGTTCTCTGAATAGAGCTGGCAACAGGGAGGCTCTGTCTTGGTGTCTTTGGGGTCCGCTCTGTGTTTCTGTACAGAAATCCCGTCTGCAGTCAGGGGTGTCACGGAAATGCTGATACTAACCCTGCAGCCTCCTCCTGCTTCACATGATTCAATTGTTCCTGGTGCCGTCATAGATACATCCAAACTTGTAAAGAATTTTTATGAGTTTATTTGAGCCAAAGCGACGACAAGTGCCTGGAAGCAAAATAACAATGAATTAAGAAAAGGCTTTAGAGAATGGCAGTTTTACACCTAATTTATACATTAGAATCAAAGAAACACAAGAAGGTTACATGAAATCCATGGGTGACACATTAGGGGTGAGGGAAAAAGCTAAGCAGAGAAATCTCTGGGATTGGATTAAAAGTAAAAGGAACAGACACCTACCTCTGCATAGGTGGAAATAGGATAATTAACACTTAGGAATTAACATGACAGCAATAACATTGAGGGACTCTGTGGTCTCTTGCTCTGGTGGGAGATTGTGCCCTGAGGAATCTGGGGGGGAAAAAAGAAATTACCCCAACATTTCAAAGTCATGTCATCCCGGATGTAAGAAGACAATCGACAGGCTTGGTTAAGTTAAAGAATGACCTTTTTTAAAAAATATATTCTTTAAAATTAATTTTAGAGAGGAAGGGAGAAGGAGAGGGACAGAGACATCAATGATGAGAGAAAGATCATTGATTGGCCGCCTTCTGCACGCCTCCTACTGGGGATCGAGCCAGCAACCTGGGCATGTGCCCCTGACCGACCGGAATCAAACCCAGAACCCTCAGTCTGCAGGCTGATGCTCTATCCACTGAGCCAAACAGACTAGGGCTAAAGAATGACCTTTAGTGAAGATACCAGTCTAGGACATGACTACTGCCTAGACTCGCTTTTAAGTTAGAAGGAATTCATTTCATACCATCCAATGTGTTGTTTTGGCCTCTGAGTTTGTAAGGCTCTCCATACAGGCCCCTCTGAGTTTGCTAGGTTTAGTATGTGGTCCACTTTAGGTCCACCTGGGGCGTTACAACCTGTGATAAGTTGAGGAGAAAAGTCAATGAGTGGTACATTTCCTCTGGGACCTGTTCTTAAGGTGCTCCTGCTGACAATGCCCACAGTATCGCTGGTATCCCTTTTTTGGTTTCCTGGAAATATTTACTCTTCAGGCCAATAAATCCTTAGGTTCTAAATGTGGTGAAGGTGTTCCTTAATTCTCTGGAGTTTTGTGGAGTGACTGTGAAAAAAAGATGAGGGAAATGACACTATAGGGGTAGAATAATTTTTCTCCTTCTTTTCTAGGTTCTTTACAGCGGTTCTCAACCTGTGGGTCGCGACCATCGGAAAATACATCCTGCATATCAGATATTTACATTACGATTCATAACAGTAGCAAAATTACAGTTATGAAGAAGCAACGAAAATAATTTAATGGTTGGGGGTCACCACAACATGAGGAACTGTACTAAAGGGTCGCAGCATTAGGAAGGTTGAGAACCACTGGATAATTAAATTGATATAACCCAAATTAACAGAGGGAAAAAAATCAAAAAGGTTAACAACAGCCCTAGCTGGTTTGGCTCAGTAGATAGAGCGTCGGCCTGTGGACTGAAAGGTCCCAGGTTCGATTCCAGTCAAGGGCACATGCCCAGGTTGCAGACTTGATCCCCAGTAGGGGGCATCCAGGAAGCTGCCGATCAATGATTCTCTCTCATCATTGATGTTTCTTTCTCTCTCTCCCTCTCCCTTCCTCTCTGAAATCAATAAAAATATATTTAAAAATAAAAAAGTTAACAACATGTATCCCTCCTGCATACATACAAGTGACCTAGTAAAATGAAACCTTCCTCTCTGAAATCAATAAAAATATTATTTAAAAATAAAAAGGTTAACAACATGTATCCCTCCTGCATACATAGAAGGGACCTAGTAAAATAAAGTCACTGTCCAAAGTGGAGGATGCCATCATCTGAAATGCCAACTTCACCTAAAGAGATTGGGGTTGTAGAGTCGGTTAGCAGAGGTTACCAGGAAAAGCACAGTAAACAAGGATAAGGTTGCTATGCAGCTCGAAGTCCCCTCTCCTCTGCTGATAGTTCAGACAGGTTTGGCATAGTAAGGGAGACACCTTACGGATGACATTGCCTTTACAAATGTAATGTCCTTCACAAGGAGTAACATACTAGGTTTTCTCCCCTCAAGCTGCAGTTTCCTCAAATTAACCAGCCTAAAGTTACCAATATCCCAAAGAGGCATATTTTAGGGTGGCAAACTGTCCCCTTCTGACTCAAGAAATGATGTATTGAAAAGACAAAATTAGCCCTAGCTGGTTTGGCTCAGTGGATAGAGCCTTGATCTGTGGCCTGAAGGGTCCCTTCAATTCCTCCTGTCAAGGGCACACAACCGGGTTGTGGGCTGGATCCCCAGTAGGGGGCGTGCAAGAGGCAGCCAATCAATGATTCTCTCTTATCGTTGCTGTTTCTCTCTCCCTCTCCCTTCCTCTTTGAAATCAATAAAAATATCTTTTAAAAAAATCCATGAGCAAGGCCAATTTTTTTTTAAAAAAGGATAAAATTATCTCAGAAACAACCAACAGATTTTCGCACATATAGTTGGCTAGAAGTGCATAATGTACTTAAGCTCATTTCAGAGTAATTCAGTCACTAGCCGTGGGAACTGGAACCACCACAATTGACGAAGACGGACCCAAACTTACTAATACACTGGCATATGCTCACCTTGTCAGAGGGATGGATATGAAATAAAATGCAGGTTCTGTTAGCAAAGAAAAACGGATGAATGTATGACAGGCAAATAAGCAACAGCGTCCACTGCTATCGATATATATATATAATATATATTTTTATTGATTTCAGAGAGAAAGGGATAGGGAAAGAAAGAGAGAAACATCAGTGATGAGAGAGAATCATTGACTGGCTGCCTCCTGCACTTCCCCTACTGGGGATCGAGCCCGCAACCTGGGCAGGTGCCCTTGACCAGAATCGACCCCAGGACCCTTCAGTCCACAGGCCAACGCTCTGTCCACTGAGCCAAACCGGCTAGGGCTGCTATAGATATATTAAGAGGTGAGAGCAGAAGTTGACAAACTTTTTCTTTCTTTTTTTTTTTTTTAATATATTTTTTTGATTTTTTACAG